ATAGAAATCAAAACAGTGTGTTTGAATCAACATTTAAGGACTGCTATTTAAAAAATAGATGGTGAAATAATTCTGCATGGAACAAGAAATGCTGGTGGGGGTCTCTTCAAAGCCGTGATGAAGACCTTAATTCCTGAAACTCACATTGACATCAACATGACTGAGAATAATGAATCAACTCTCCAACTTTATCATGAACGATGGGGTCACCAAGATAAAAGGCATGTAAAGGCCATTGTAGAGAAAGAGTTGAATATTAAGATTAAGTCTGATATGAAATTATGTGAAGCTTGTGTATACGGAAAATCCCACCGTTTAAAGTTTGGAACCAGGAAAGCGGTTACAAAAGCTGGAGAATTGTTCTCGACAGATATTTGTGGGCCATTTGATCAGTCATTTAGGAAATACCGTTACTTTGCAATCTTCAAAGATGCCTACACCAAATTTCGATACTGTTTTTTCTTAAAGCACAAATCAGAAGTAAAAGATGTGCTTGAAAATTTCATAGCTCACGCTAAGAACTTAGGGCATACGGTTAAAGAAATGCTCAGTGACAATGGTGGAGAATTTGACAACCAAGCCATTCGCAAGATCTTGAACAAGCATGGAATCTCCCAGAGGCTCACAGCTCCATATACACCAGAACAGAATGGCAGTGCTGAACGAGAGAACAGAACAGTCCTAGAAATGGCCAGAACTCTCAAATACTCGAATGAGGAAGTGGACTTTCCAGCTTTCCTATGGGCAGAGTTCGTCAGTACTTCAGTTTATATACTGAATAGGACAGGCAAGTCTTCAGTTCCTAATTTAAGTCCTTATGAATTATGGATGGGAAAGAAACCCAGAATAAAACACATGCGTATCATTGGATCGACTTGCTATGCTCATGTTCCCAGTTCAGAAGAGGAGAAAGATGGACAAAAAGGCAACTAAAGGCTATCTCCTTGGGTATGATGGAGATGAAAGGTACCGCATTTACATCAAAGAAACCAGTACAGTAATCTGTTCCCGAGATGTCATATTTGAAGAGAAACCTTCCATGACAGGAAACATTATAACATTGCCCCTGCAACAAGTTTCTGAAAGAAACTCATCTCAAGATGATGAAGTTGAAAACAAAGTAATAGACAAAGGCTCTCAACAGGAAAAGAAGGAAGTGGAGGATACACCAGAAAAGGAGGCTCGACCCAGAAGACAAATTTCAGCGCCTAAGTGGACAAAGGATTATGTCATTGGAAAATTCAGAGATTTATGAAGAAAATCCTCCAGAAATAAATGGAATTACAAGTGAAAAGCAATGCAGCTGACAATCCGAGAAACAGAAATATGAAGGCTCAACACCCAAGAAAGCTTCCAGAATGATCCTGAAACTTTAGAAAAGGCATTAACTAGTCCAGATGCAGAAAAATGGAAGTTAGCCGTGGAAGAAGAGTTGGAAAATTTGAAACGAAATGAAACTTGGGACATAGTACCTAGGCCAGAGGGAAGGAAAGTTGTGAAATGTAAGTGGGTCTTCAAGAGAAAACTTAACAAAGATGGACAAGTGGGAAGATATAAAGCTCGTTTAGTTGCTCGTGGCTACACCCAAGTCGAAGGAATTGACTACAAAGAGACGTTTTCTCCTGTAATAAAAACAAAATCAATTAGAACTTTATTAGCATTCTCAGTTGAGCAAGACTGGCAGGTTCATCAACTTGGATATTACTGCAGCCTATTTAAATGGAAAGACTGAGTGAGACAATTTTCATGGAACAGCCACCCATTGAGTCTGCATGAGAAAACACATAGAGAAGTTTGCTTGCTAAAGAGAAGCCTTTATGGACTTCATCAGTCTGGGAGAGAAGTGGAATATATGTGCCTTCGATAAATTTCTGAAATCAACGAAGCCTAACAAGATCCAGAGCAGATCCTTGTGTTTACTTCAATAAAGAAAAAGGAGTTAATGTAGGTGTGTATGTGGATGATCTTCTTGTAATGTCCAGCAAAGATTTCATCATTCAGGAATTTAAGGATAATAATTGCAGCTACATTTAAAATCAAGGACTTGGGAGAAATACATCACCTTCTTTCAATTAGGATAAGCAGAAAGGGAAGATAGCTGTGTGACTCTTGACCAAAGTGTCTATGCTAGTGAACTCTTGGAAACAACCAATATGCAAGATGCTAAAGGAGCATCAACACCATTAGATCCAGGTATGAAATATACAACAGCCACTAAGGATAACATGTTGAATGCTGAAGGAGCATTAAAATATAGGCAGGCTGTTGGAGGGCTCTTGTACCTAGCAGGAGGAACAAGGCCAGATTTAGCTTTTGCTACTACTTACATGAGCCAATTCAATAATTGCCCAAGCAAGGAACATTGGGCTGGTGTACAACATATCCTTCGTTACCTAAAACAGACCAAGTGTCTATGCTAAAGCTGAGCTCTTCCAAAAGACAGGAAAGAATTTGGAAGTGTTTTTGTGATTCTGATTGGGCTAGTGATAAAGATTGATAGACGATCATTTAGTGGCTATGTGGTGCTACTAGCAGGTGAGCTGTCTCGTGGAGCAGTAAGAAACAACAGAGCGACTGCATTGTCAACAGTTGAAGCTGAGTACCTCTCAATGTGCCACGCAGCCAAAGGAAGTACTGTGGTTACAAAATTTTTTTAAAGAAAATCGTGGGAGAAACATTTTTTAAACTTTCCACAAAAGCATATTTGTTGATTAATCAGGGTGCCATTTCTTTAGCCAAAAACAATGTCACTTCAGAGCGTAACAAACATATTGAACTTCAGGCAGCATTTTTCTTGAGAGAAAAGGTTGAAGAGAAGTTGTTAAACTTTACGTATGTGCGTTTTCCAGTTCAAATGCAGCAGACAAATGTTGACAAAGAGTGTGCAAAAGAAAGCCTTGTTTCAATCAAAGGTTCTGTGTAGGACCTGAGGGAAATTTAATCAAGGGGGAGTGTTGCAAATAACTTTTTATTTGTGATTATATTTCCCATATTTGTATTTTACAACATGTGTGGCAACACACTTTTTATATTTTTCTCTTGGCAACGTTTTTTTTAGTTGTTGTCACTGTTTTACTTTAGCATGTAGAATTTACTGTACTTGTGCCATTTTTGTGTTTCAATATATGTTAATTTAGATGAATCTCTGCTTATTTATTTATCTCCATTCCTAACGTTAGACTTCATCAGTTGGTACGCTCTAATGAGGTCTATGGATGAGAAGACTTTTTTCCCCCGCTAAAATGGAACTGAAATCTGTTAAAAATGGGTGAGGGTATCTATCAGGAATCGTGACGTTGTTTAACGCTCGATAGTCTCCATAAGGTCTCCAATCACCTGATTTCTTCATAGCGAGATGTAGTGGGCTCGACCAGCTACTTTTGGATGGCCTGCATAAATCCATTTGGATCATAAATTCAAACACCTTTTTAGCCGCTTTGAGTTTCTCAGCTGATAGTCTCCTGGCTTTAGCGAAAATTGGTGGACATCTGGTTTCGATATAATGTTTAATGTTATGATTTTTAACTTTATTATTAACTACATTTGGTTTTAACAAATCCGGAAAATCGTTAATGATACGTTTATATGGATCATTTATGGCATTTAAAATTGGAATATTATTATTGTTTTTTTGAAAACAAGGAATTGCATTGGTTGTTAGGAATGTAGTACCATCAATCAACTTGCGATTTTTAGAATCTACCAAAAGGTTAAAATCTGAAAGAAAATCCATTCCTATTATCGGTTTGTTTACCTCCGCAATTACAAAAGGCCATGTGAATGATCGTCTGAGTCCAAGATCAAGCTTGAGCAATTTTTGGCGATATGTTTTGATTTTCGTACCATTTGCAGCAAAGAGTTCTAATGTTGAGTTTTTTTTATCTGCAGGTAAGGGAGGAATGACAGAAATAAAATGTTTTTAGGAAAGTATCTGTTACTTTATCGCCCGCCAAATTACTCATCTCACACAGCAATTGAGACGGCTTTTTGTCACCCAGTTCTAATTCACTCAGTAATTTTTGGCTTGAGTCTCTGAATCAGCATATAATGAAATTAGTCTATTTTTAATTGCCTCATATTTATTATCTTGTGGTGGTCTTAGCAAAATATCAGATACCTGTGACAAAATATCGGGTTCAATGGAACTTATAACATAATCATATTTTGTTTGATCTGCATTTATTTTTGCATTTCTGAATTGTGCTTCTAGTTGAATAAACCACATTTTAGGATCTGGCTTCCAAAAAGGAGGAACTTTAACGCTTACCTCGGCGACAGATGCAGTTGTTGCTTTAAGTTGTTGATTTCCTCTTGGCCAGCCATTGTAGAATTCGATCACGTCCGGGTCACCAGTGAAGTGACTGGTATGCAAATATAGGAAAATAACACTTCTCTGATTCCAATAGAACTAATATTTTATTCCTTACGAAGTTATAGATTCTTATTCATGAAATTTATTTACATTTTACATGCACGTCGAATCGCATGACAGAAAACCGAACTTTGTTTAATTCGTTCTTCGCGGAGACTTTGCGTGTTGCCATTCCTCTTTAACTAAATTTAATTAGAAATTTGACGGAACTGAAGCGACACTACACTCATAAACAAAAAATATCACCGAATGGTAAGAGAAACACGCAATGTAAAATTTTAAATTAAGGTGCATTTTTGCCTGATTTTAAACAGAACTATGATTTTATCTAATTAATGTAACATCAAGTAGCTTATCAATGATAAAGAATCATTACAACATTTATTTCGAGTATTAACAACATATTATCGAAATATAATTTCAGACTGATTTAGAATTTAGGTTACATGCTCAATTTTCATCTTTCTAGAGTTTATTGTAATAAAGATTTGTGTCGAGGTTTTAATTCAGACATCTTTTTTTTTTCCATCGCACTGCATCGCCGTATTTTCCCTACAAATCCCAAAATGCTCTATCATGCTACACTGAAGAGAGGAATTGCTCACTTTCTATCCAGTTTGTGATTCGTCCAATCATCGTTCTCCACATTACTTACCCGGCACGATGAAGTCAAGTTGACCGCCGTCTAACTACGACGTTCCTCGTTTAACATCATCTGGCATGCATTTAGATGTTCGGAATATATTAATTATAATAAATAAATTATTGTTAGTTTTACATATTCATTTTTGGGGTGTTTGTAATTGAGCGACTGCATTCTATAAGTGCTAAGTATCTAATTTAAGGTAAGCCTATTCCTAATGAATTAATGTAATTTGAATTGTACCATGTTGCCAGCTGACCAATTTGCAATATGCGTAAAGGTATATTTGAATACACGTCACAAGTTATAAACCTTTTAGTTTAAATTAGTTTTTGGAATTAATTAGATGTCGTGTAATTTATGACATATTTGTGCTTTTTATAATGCAAGTCTGTCTGCTTCTTGTACACTTGAAAACGTATGTTAATTAAGGAATATTATGTATCTTCGTCAATTAAATGTTATAACTTCTCAAAACTAGAGTAGTCAGTTTATTAAGTAATTTGGTACTCGTAACCTTTTCCAGATTGTTAAAATGCTCCGAAAGGTGACCATATGATATAAAAAGTTCATTCACACTGCATGTATTATTCCCTGTTTCACTCAATTGTGCGGATTAAGTTTCGTAACTAAAACTGTCACGTATTAAGCTGGTGTATTGAAAAGCTATAGCAAAAGTGACCAAATTTTCCACCTTCTAAATCATTTTTTTTTCCACACCTCTGGGGAAGGAGAATTCCATTCCATTGTAATATAACACTTTCTCGTACAAATAACTGTTATAAAACATTCATTATTTAAATTAATTTATGTTAAGCATTGTATTAAGGTTATTATATGTTTGAGAAGTATAAGAAAGAGTACTTTTTGTGTTTATATAAATTAAAAGTAAATTTTTTTAAATTCTGAATTCAGCTGTAGTAAATTTCTTTAAGACATGAGTATATCATAAAGCATTATTATTTATTGTCTGTTGAAAGTATTCTATTTTAAAAATATGAAATTTAAAATATACAAAAAATTTATTGATATCGCTTGAATATGAGGATGATCTAAATTGTAAAATCGGGCATCTCAGGCAGGAAAAAAAATTGCATAATCAGGGAGACTGTTGCCTTTGTTCAAGTGAGACTTTTAGATTTAATCCTAGTATCCGATGCACATGGGATTTGGCTACTTTTGGTGACTTTATGATGTACCGTAAAAACGGGACATGTACGATGAGTAGTAAACGGGTCAGTCAAAGAATATATATAGTATATACTATGTATACAAGGATAGTGTATAGTATATACATAGATGTTTTTTGGGTCATTTTTTATGTTAGTGATAATTTTCAAAATTGCGCCAAGGCTGCACAGTATACTATTATTTTACCGACTTTTAAATAAGTCTGAACTATAATAACTGATTTTGGATCTTCTATTGTATTATCCACCAACTATAAAATTGTAAATATCAGTCATAAAAATTTTCTTCTTAAATTTGTTATTTCTAAAATATTTATTATTATTTATAAATATAACAATACTAATGAACTGGATCATTAGCCAAATAACATATTTTTTGCCAGTTCACAATGTCACCAACAGGGCTGTGGAGTCGGTAGGGAAAATGACCGACTCCTGGAATTTTAATGACTCTGACTCTCTCATATATATGTATAATGTAAACATATACATATGGGTTATGGCTTATTTTTTTAATATGGAAGAAGTAATAGATGTTACAGAAAAAAAGAACTGATGTCATAGCAAATTATGGTTGATCTTTACATTATGGTAACTTGGCGAAAATTTGGCGACCAACTCTCCTACAGCAACCCTCTATTTTTTTTTTCCCCGCCGCCAAAGACATGTTTCTTTTCTTTTTATCTCCTGAACACTTCTTCCAACAATCTACTAGCCGAATTACACTTATGCTAGAAATTTTATCAAACAAAACTGCTTAATCATGACAAATATTCACTGCAAAATTAGGAAAAACCGCACAATACCATTCTCCTTACGCATTTTTCAAAATAACACATACACATAAACCATGTACACGCGCCGACTTATTTTTACTTAAAAAAAATCCCAGAATTGCACACAAAATAGCATTGCGCACACTCTTCACTATATCCATGTACACTGCTTTTTTCTCATAAATTACAAAAATTTACACGAAAATACATGACAATTTTCTCAATCTTTTAAACCCGGTAAAAAGAACATATATGAAATTACCATGATCGCAAAAAAGTATTTACCCTTTACAAATATCAACATTTCCACATATAAAATAAATAGAATATCCAAAAACTTTTACCTCTAAATCATCTATTACATTATACACGTCACCAACGAATTCATACCTCAAGCATTACAAATACTTAATATCAAATATTTAAATTATTTCCATGCACATTTATTTCAACTTAAACGTATACCAAATTCCTACAAACATAAAATTCACAAAATAACTATCATTCATTAAAATATAATTAAATTCAAAAAACACTACTTAAAATATAAATGAGCACATACATTAAATAATAAAAATTACCTTACAATCCTAATAACTTTAAACTAAATCATTGCTAATAACAATTTTCCCAATAATACCAAATTCCTTTCCACCTTACATTTACAACAATGCATAAAAAATATCCTCCTCAAACTAATTAAAAATACTAACTTACTAATCTTCTTCAGAATCTTGATACGTGGCGGATACACTTTTCTTACTTCTGTTTCAGAATCTTTAAAATCATACTTTTTATCTTTCAAAGCAAGATACCAGGTAAAATAAATAACATAATAAAACATCTTTATTTCTCTCTCGCACAACCTTAAAAAACATTTATTACTATCCTTTTCAATACCACTAAATACCCATTTCGAATTCACTTTAGTTAGCGGCCATGGGATCCAAAAATTCATCAAACACTATTTCACACAACACACAATAAAGCTTAATACTGCAGCTATAGTACTGCAGATGTTTTTCCAAGATTTTTATCCCCTTTTCCGATTAAAGAACTGTAATTTATTTCGTCCATTAATGTCACATAACATATCCCATGATCTCTCATTTCCCCTCACACAAAATAATGCGTATAATCAGAACTGAATACTACTCACATTCTTAACAAAGTCTAACTAAACTAATCTTCTTCCGAATCTTCCTTACATGGTGGATACACTTTTATTATGGATTCAATAAAATTACTGAACAATTTTTTTCCGAATTTTTGATAGAATTTGATAAAAAAAAAATTCTCTTTATCACATCTACAATTCACTTTAGACAGCACCATTACAATCCCAAAATTATTCAACCCTACTTCACACAAACACACAATGAAGCTTAATAAACAAAATAATATACATCCACAGATACTTGTCCAAATTCCCTCCCTTTTCCGATTAAAGAACCGTAATTCGTCCATTAATATCACATGACATATCCCGTGATCTCACATTTCCCCCACACGAAATAATGCGTAATCGGAGCTGAGTACTGCTCACATTATTACCAAAGTCCCAGGTAGTAACCTTTATCGCCTCCAAAATGTCGCCAAACTACCAGTTACCATATTGTAAAGATCAACCCAAATTATTTATTATGAAATGGAAAAACTGGCATTAGTTTTTTCTAAGAAACAGTATAGCTTCGGCAAGATTTTCTTTGTTGAAGTATCATAGATCCGATTTGATAAGCTTCAGATCTGAGAAGCGTCTTTCCATACTAACTTGACTACGAGGAAGAGCTGTTACTGTTGGGGCTACTTCTCTTAACTTTTCAGGATAGATTTTTTTTAAGTTCTAAAAGAGGTATCTGGCAAGTGTAATTATATTTCTCTTATTTTTTTAAAGGCTGTATAGAAATCTTGTTTGAATTTTTTCATTTTTATATCTAAAGGCTCTTGTTTTTTTATTTTCATTCGCTTTGCCTTAGCCTTTTCAATATTATCCAAAAATATTTCTCAAAATCCAATTCATCAATAGAAAAGGATGATAGAGGCTCAGTTGCAAGTGTCTGCAGTTTGACTGTCCTGATTCGAATTCTCCAAATGTTCTGAGAATAATTTCATTTCTTAATGAAAGTTCATTGATGGCTTTCTTTCGTCTTTTTCAATTTGTTCCTCATCCAAGAAACATTGGGTATTTCGGATCTCACATATATTGATTGAACCTCAGCAAGATCCTCATTGTCTAGCAAACTAGTTTCTTTCTCTTCTTCATTGAAGAAATTGATTCCTTCTGTAATAAACCCTCCATTTCAGAAAGAATAAACATCACATTCCTCCATTCACACCTCCTGTCAATTCTTCATATTACAGCTTTTTTTGTGGCTATATACGGTATAGAAAGAAGATTTTCCAATTCTGCAAGATCATTCCACAGTCTTTCTGTTAGTGAAACATTAGGGTTATCTACATCTAAAAAAGTTCAAAATTCTAAAAACCTCTTTATCATCAAATAAGTACTTCCTTATCGCATTGCTTGATCAATAATTGCTGCTTTTACTGCTCGCTTCCTAAGAATGGCATCAATTTTAAGAGTTCTTTCTGTTATTGCTGCTTACCTAAATTTATCAGTGAGATTTGTAACTAAGTGAATCAGTTTAATAACTATTGGCAAATATCACATCCATCCTCCTGCCTTATATTTATTTATTAATAGGTCAATAAAATGGAAAATAACTTTTTATTAATGTATACATTCCATAAATAAAAATAACTCAGCTTGTCATTATTTTTTTCAATTCATTTAAATTTCATTTCAAATTCAAACTGTCCAACAAAAACTGGAGTGGGATTTGACCTATTTTTTAGTGACTCGAGCTCCGATTCCTTTTACCCCTAAATGTGCCCGATTCCGACTCCACAGCCCCGGTCACCATTGAGTTGCCAGCTTTTCATAGGGATCCAGATTAATCATCAGTTATAACTGAATAATATCAAAATAACTGTGGGCAAATGTGATCACATTAAGTGATGGTTATTTACTGTATGAGTAATGTAATAAAAATAGAAACTGGAATTATTAAATAAAATTTGTAGGTTGTCAGGAACATTCCGACGGTAAATTATTAAATAAAATTTGTAGGCTGTCCGAAGAAATTTTATTCAGTAGATAGGTAATTTTAGCTGAGAAGAAATGAAACGTGATCAAAAGAGGAGTGATAATTTATGATTGAAGATTTATTAAATGT